GCTTTCTTGTTAACTTGAAGAGGTTCTCCAAGATTTTGGAAAATCAGTGTTAGTCTTGACCTTTAAATTTAGGCCTCTGTGCTTCGTATTACCTTCCAGAGAAAATTATGCTGTTTTTTATATGAAGCCTCCAACACACACACCCCGCCTCCCCCATTATCTTTACAAACGTGGAATTGTGGATTAAATTGTGGAATAAATTATTCTGATTAATCCAGAATAATCATCCCATTTAGGTTCCAGACTAGGGTTGCCACTGCCAGCCTCCAAGGAGGGTTTGGAGACCACCTGGAATTATGAGAGACCTCCAGATTACAGGGATCAGTTCCTCTCGGGGACTCTATAGCATCATACCCTGCTGAGGCCCCTCCCATTCCCACATCCCACCGTTCCCCAAAGCCCCCAATGTCTCCAGGAATTCCCCAACCCAGAGCTGGCAACCCTGTTCCATGTACACCGCTACCAGTGTGAATAAAAGCCCCCCCTGCTCAGGTAAACACGTGCTGAGCAAATGCAAACACACCCCATATTTACCACACTGGAACATACCCCAGGCTGCAAGTACAGAGAGTGGCTCAGATGTTTTAAAAGGCAACTCTTTTCTGTTAGGCCATCTTGAGTATATGTCCTCCCTTCGCTAGATGGCCTTGAACAGGCTGTTATATAAATCTTGGTTCCTAAACTGTAAAGTGGGAATAATAGTGAATACATTTATGCACATATTTTTTTAAACTCTTGCTTTGCAAGCTTTCAGAAGTAGCTAAGAAACAAACCCAGAAATGGTAAAATCAGAAACCCTTTATGTGTTTAGAAACATGAGTAAGTGGCATAGATTTCTCCTGGCACCTGAAAAGATGTTAGTGTAGGCGCCAAATTAATCTCCCTAAGGAGGGGAATTTCACAACCGGGGTGCCACTGTGGAAAGTATCCTATCTATCTCCGGCCCCGGTCACACGGAGAATTTGCCACGTGAAAGGCACGAATGTCAGGCGTATTTTCGGGGCGCAATCACACCGCAACATCTGGGAAGCATAGCGCACCTGTGGCCAACCCATGGCGTCCCGCGGAAGAAGAGGACTTAAAAAGTACCAAGGAAAGTGCACTAGTATCCGGAAAACGTGCGGCACGGGCAGGCGTCTGATCGCAGGAGTGCTAGTATCCCGTGGCTTCCGGCGTCCGTCCACATCCCGTCGCAAACCGGATGTTTTTCGTAAGCGCATGTGCACAAACATGAAACTGAAAGCAGCGCTGCTCCACGGAACTGTGCATGCGCACAAATGCGAAACGCTTGTGTGATCGCGCCACACCAATTCTTTGCCATGCTGCAGCATTGCCGTGTGATCGCCAGCTAACAGCCAAAGCACGGAGACTTGGGAGACCGTTGGGCTACCGCACTTTATTTTGCTCCGGGACGAACAGCCACACACACACCCCCTCGTGTTATCTGGCCCATGTGACCGGGGCCTCCGATAGCCTAACTGGATAAGGCAGAAGCACCAGAAGAAAGATGTCTCAGCTTAACTGACTGGCAGATTAATACGGATCCTCAAGATACTCCCTTAAAATAATAGGGATACACCCAACAGGATTATTGTGGAAAAGAAGCCATTGTGAGGATTACGCCATTGCTATCTTTCATGTGCCACAGCAAGAGGTAGACTCAGGTAGCCTTGGATGGATGGATTTTCCATCCATCAAACTACTGCAGTATTTAGACTAGTCTATCCCAAACAATATATCCCAGTGAAGTACACATTTCCCCCTGAATTAAAATTAGAGTCAAGCTTCACCGCTCTGCCTAAAAAAAGTTTTGTTTTAGAGGGTAAGAATTATGCCTTCCTCAGAAGAAGTTCACCTCCCTACACTTCTGCGTACCACTGGTCTGAGTGGAAGGAGACGTGCCTAGAGCACTAACTCATGCAGAGGTGCAAAGGGCAGCTTCCTCAAGAGTAGGCAATTCGTCCTCTTGATGCAGAATTAGCCAACCTCATTCAATGCAGAGCCTCTAAGAATGACTTAGGTAAAGGTTCCCTTGCTCGAAAGCCAGTCAAATCCGACTCTAGGGTTGCGGTGCTCATCTCCGTTTCAAAGCCGAAGAGCCAGCACTGTCTGAAGACGTTTCCGTGGTCATGTGGCCGGCATGACTAAATACCAAGGCGCACGGAACGCTGTTACCTTCCCATCAAAGTGGTCCCTATTTATCTACTTGCAATTTCTTGCTTTCGAACTGCTAGGTTGGCAGGAGCTGGAACTAGAGAAGGGAGCTCACTCTGTCATGCGGCGCACTCGGGTCTCGAACTGCTGAACTACCCGACCTTCCACAGCCTGCAGTTCAGCGTCTTAACCACTTGAGCCACCGCAGCTCCTAAGAATGACTTAGTCTAGAGTAAAGTGAGCTGGATAGAAAGCAGGCGAAAGATGATTTTAATCACACAGAGATACAATGTACAGCCTCCTCTTAAAGATGTCTCTTTGGGCTTGTGGGAGGAGCCTTTAACTACTGGATTAATTCCTTGTGGTGCATGAGCAGGTTTCTCCTGGAACCTCACATTCCCTTCGCATACAGTTGGGGAATGCCTGAAGTGCCACTCATGACTGAGGTATTGTTTATGACACCTTGGGAGGTGTTTGGTCAAGTCGGACTGGCACGGCTGGTTTCTTTGAACCCTGCAATATTAACTTATGATGTTACCACCAATGCACCTGAGTGTCTTGTCCAGGATGAGAAAAACTAGGAGACTCCCTTGATGTATAAATAGGATGCTATTTTGATTGTGGGAGTGCAAAGGCAGATGACTGTAGAAACCTCTCCAGCACAGAGCTTCATACGCTGCTGGTGTGCAATGAAGACTGGGCAGCGGGACATTTGTCATCCCTCTCTAATCACATTGGAATGGTGGTGGTGGGGGGAGACCCAATAAAGTTATGCACAATAAAGTCAAGATAGGCAAAAGAAAAGTGCCGTGTGAAGAACTAGTCACTTCTGGAACGGGGAGGCTCAGCCCCGTTCAGCTATCATCGGTAGGCCTATATCCACCCAGAAAAGCCGTCATGGCCAATGTTCCCTCTAAGCTGTGGAGTCATGTGAGCAAAAATTCTACTTTGTGAGCTACTGGCATTAAAGTTGTGAGCTACTGCATTAAATTGGTTTGCTCTGTAGCCATCCTTCCTGAGCTAAAACAAAAATGCGTGAGCCAGAGGCTAAAAAACTGTGAGCTAGCTCACACTAACTCAGCTTAGCGGGAACAGTGGTCATGGCTTTTCTAAAGAAAAGATGAATGAAATTCCGGGTGGATAGGTCTGTCAATGATAGCTGAAGGGGGCCCAGCCTCCCTGTTCAGAAGCAGCTGTACCTCTGAATAACAGAGGCTGGGGGGGGGGGGAATAAGCGTGCCTTCAGCCTTTGCTTGCAGATTTCCATGAAGGATGGTCGACTAGATAGACTTTTGGTCTGATCTAGCACGGCCCTTTTCCTGTTCCTCTCAACGTGATAATGTGTACACTGTCGCTTAAGCACCAAAGGGGAGGGTTTCTGTTCTCGGGAGCGGTAGTGAAATTTTAGTGCTCTGTGCAGCTTCTTGTAAATCCCTTACACATGTACGCATGCACATGCGCGCACACACGAGCTAGCAAAAGAAGACTATATTATTCCGGTTTTAGGGTTGCCAGGTGCCCCTCAGACACTGGCAGGGAAGGTAGGGTTGCCAGATTTAGGTTGGGGATGGAGACTGGGGAGGACAGGAGCCTCAGTGGGGTACACTGGCATACAGTCCACCCTCCAAAGCATTGATTTCTCCAAAGGAACTGATCTCTGTAGTCTGGAGATGACCTGTAATTCCAGGGGACCTCCAGGCCCCACCTGGAGGCTGGCATCCCTAGGTACAAAGCAGGAACATCTGTGTTCAAGTCCATGCTTATCTATGCTAAGTTCAGCAGTCTAGCTCTGGGGGGCCCAATCTTGTTGAGCTTCTGGGCATTCTTGAAATTTTGAGAATGGGGAAGGGGTGCAATGCCAAAATGGCTGCCATGTGATTGTGACGCCCATCACGACATAGGAGAATCCTGTCCAGAGGGAGCAGCCATATCTGAATGGGTTCTGAAGAATCTTCTCCTTCAGTAAGGTGGGGAGATGACTAGCTGAAGAACAGTGCCGGGAAATCCATCTGCAGGCACCACATTGAGGATTCCTGGTCTAACTACTGTCTAGCCAAAACGTGTTGGATGCCGGTCAATTTCTTTATCTTCTTTATCTTATAAACAGGAAGGTTTTTCCTCTCTCTCTTGTTTTCCTTCGCGCCATCATAAGGACAGAATAAGGTCTAGCAGTCATACTTAATAGTTTTATACCTGGCGTTTTGTTTTGTTTTTGCCGTCAAGTTGCAACCAATTCATGTTGACTCTATCGGGTTTTTAAAGCAAGAGATGTGAAGGGGTGGTGTGCCACTGCCTGCCTCTGCGTAGAGATCCTGGCATTCCTCGGTGGCCTCCCATCCAAATACTGACCAAGGCTGACCCTGCTTAGCTTCCTAGATCTGATGAGATCGGGCTACCCTGGGCCACGCAGGGCAGGGCATGATATTGCACAGACTGCAGCTTGATGTTTAACACAATGTTTTATTTATTTACATAATTTTAACTTTTAAAAAATCTCTATATATTTATGAGAACTCAATATTGTATTTGTATATTATATAACAGGGTTCCTCCATAGAAGCCTGTTGGCAGAATGCAATTTTTAGCTGAGTAAATAAATATATTTTTACTTTACTTGCACCATCAGCCTTGGTCTTATTTTTTTAAAAAAATCTCTGACTACTGTAGTGCCACACTGGCTGTACTCTGTCGTCTCACCATCTCATCCAATATTTTGTAAATGTTTTTACAGGATCCTCCCGCACCTCCCAGCTAAGAGGCTCTACGCTCTTCATTCGAATTCATCCTTGCTGCCTGTTTCCCCAGTAATTAAAGCCCTGCATGCTGTCTTCTTGGCCCTTAGCAGAATGTTCAAGGAATATTTCCAATACAAGGGGATCAACTTTCCTCACATCATCTATTCAGAACAAGTGCTGCAGTTGGTGGAAAACAGTTTCCAAGTTCGAGATGATGACGTTTTCAATGTCACCTACCAAAAATCAGGTGCCAAGCTTTCTGGGGAGGGGTGGGGGGGCCTGTTGAAGCAAGTTGGTGGTGTTGGGGAGAAGTACAGGGGTTAGAATTCAGGGCAGGGCAAAACTTTTAACGATACTGTAGAAGAATTTTATCAAATGCAACTTACCTCATAGGGCAGTGGTGGCGAACCTATGGCACGGGGGCCAGAGGTGGCACTCAGAGCCCTCTCTGTTGGCACGCGTGCCATCGCCCCAGCCAGGCCCAGACCATCATTAAAGTGTCAAATTCTCTGCCAAATAATTTTAAGTAAATGAAAGCATTTGGGATGGCTTTCCTTACTTTGTTTGGACCATCTTAAGTTAATGTATGAGTTGTTTTTTCTAAAGTAAAACCTCAGTATTCAGGTTAAATTGCCGTGTTGGCACTTTGCGATAAATAAGTGGGTTTTGGGTCGCAGTTTGGGCACTCGGTCTCTAAAAGGTTCGCCATCACTGTCATAGGGTTTTCACCCTGTTTCTTGAACTGCATGAACCCAGCTTGAGTTTTGTAAAGAGCAGGACAGAGAATAGAAATGAGCAAGGAAAGAAAGACTGACAGTGTGGTGGGGGAAGCAGCTGATGCCCCCTCTTAACTTGATATTTAAGAGTGTCTGAGGCTTTATCCCAAGGAGCCAACCCTGCAGCCAGGAGTCTAGAAATACCTCTTGCAAGTTGTGTTGGCATTTCTTGTCTAGTGACAAGTGCTAAAGCTGAAATTGCAGTGTGTGCGTGTGTGCACGTGCGCATTGAAAAATGGTCCTAGCAACCATAGTCCCATGTACATCCTTAGGGGCGATTCACACACTACAAAAGCCACCCAGTGGGCATCTTGAGAACCTTGGATCAGACGTGCTCCTGGACTTCGGTGCTGCTGACTTGGTTCCCAAGCATGCAGGGCCCAATTTGGATTGGCAATAAGGGATTAAACCTTTCCCCTTTACACCATTTTTCCAACCTGAAATGGTCTGGTAGGCCACTATTGGCTCCATTGCAGAAGCTTTTGCGTACCAATGGCTACCTATGAGTTCCTCCCAAAAGAGCAATTAGTAACTTCTTGCGCCATTTCAAGTAGGGAAATTAACATGGGCAGGGCAGTTTAAGCCACTTCTCATGCTCCTGACCCAGATTGAGCCCCTGCTCACCCCGGGGAAGAGTTACCAGCATGGAATTCCCAGGTGCACATCTAACACTTACAAAATACTATTCCAAATAGTATTTTTTACTCAAAGGACCACTTAGTCCCACATAAACCATCCTGGCAGTAAAGATCCACCTTAAGAGCTCTGCTTTGTGCATCCCACCTTCAAAATTGATGCGATTCACTGGTAGGTCTTGGGTCTTTTTGGTGGTGGTACCTCAGTTCTGGAACTCCCTTTCCCGGCACTAATATATGACCAGTTTTAAACTCCAGTTTAAAGACCTTCCACTTTACTTGGGATTTTGGTTGGTTCTATTTGGCTTTATCTAACCTTCTTCACTTTCATTTGCTTGGTTGATAGCACTGTATTTGCTTTTGAGCTGATTTTTTTGGTTTGGTTGTTTTATTGTTGTGCTGGCCTTTGAGGGACCTTAGTTTTGCAGCTGCTGTATTGCTACTGTATGGGATTCCCCCCCCACCATTTCAGTCTGGTTTTATTGTACTGTTGGCTTGTTTTGGTTGCCCCTTTGAACTAAACACCTCTGTGACTTACTTTCAAATCACTGAACAGGTACATCGTAATAAAATGACACACCAGTGGACACAACTGTAAAACAAAGAAAACACCCACAACCCCATAGTGATAGAACAGATAAACCTCTTCTCAGTCTTCCCAAATAAAAGTATCTTAACTGAGCATTGGAAGAAAAGGAGTGAAGAGGACAGGTGGGCTTTCCAGGGCAAGGAATGCATTTAGGGGCATGTCTGAGGTAACCCAGTCCTGCGCACCCACCAGATATGGGAAAGAGGAGATGAGATAAACCTCTTCTCAGTCTTCCCAAATAAAAGTATCTTAACTGAGCATTGGAAGAAAAGGAGTGAAGGGGACAGGTGGGCTTTCCAGGGCAAGGAATGCATTTAGGGGCATAATGTCTGAGGTAACCCAGTCCTGCGCACCCACCAGACATGGGTAAGAGGAGATGGGCATCAGGGGAAGACCTCCAATGAGGGTCACCTGCCTCCAAGTGGTCCCCGAAGATCTCCCAGAATTACAACTGTTCTCCGGACAACAGCTATGCTAAAGCCTTTGACTGTGTGGATCACAACAAACTATGGCAGGTCCTTAAAGAGATGGGAGTACCAGACCACCTCACATGTCTCTTGAGAAACCTGTATAAGGGCCAAGAAGCGACAGTTAGAACCGGATATGGAACAACTGATTGGTTCAGCATAGGAAAAGGAGTACGACAAGGATGTATATTGTCACCTTGCTTATTTAATATATATGCAGAGTACATCATGCGAAATGCTGGCCTGGATGAATCACAAGCGGGAATTAAGATTGCTGGGGAAAAGATCAACAACCTCAGATATGCAGATGATACCACTCTAATGGCTGAAAGTGAAGAGGATCTAAAGAGCCTCTTGCTCAGAGTAAAAGAGGAGAGCGCAAAAGTGGGCTTGAAGCTCAACATCAAAAAAACTAAGATCATGGCATCCGGCCCCATCACTCCTTGGCAAATAGAAGGGGAAGTTGTGGAAGTGGTGACAGACTTCACGTTCCTGGGATCCCAGATCACCGCAGACTGTGACAGCAGCCATGAAATTAAAAGACGCCTGCTCCTTGGGAGGAAAGCGATGGCGAACCTAAACAGCATGATAAAAAGTAGAGACATCACCCTGCCAACAAAAGTCTGCATGGTCAAAGCAATGGTATTCCCAGTAGTCATGTGTGGCTGCGAGAGTTGGACTATAAGGAAGGCCGAGCACCGAAGAATAGATGCTTTCGAATTATGGTGCAGGCGATGACTCTTGAGAGTTCCTTGGACTGCAAGGAGATCAAATCAGTCAATCCTCAAAGAAATCAACCCTGACTGTTCCCTGGAAGGCCAGATAATGAAACTGAAGCTCAAATACTTTGGCCACCAAATGAGAAGGGAGCACTCACTGGAGAAGACCCTGATGCTGGGAAAGATTGAAGGTCAAAGAAGACGGGGGCGGCAGAGGAACAGATGGTTAGACAGTGTCAGAGATGCAACGAACATGAAATTGAGCCAACTTCAGAGGACGGCGGAAGACCGGAAGGCCTGGCGGGAGCTGGTCCATGGGGTCGCGAAGAGTCGGACTCGACTGTGCGACTGAACAACAAAAAATGGCCACTCTGTGAAACAAGGTGGTGGACTAGGCGGACCATTAGTCTGATCCTACTAGTGCTGTCAACAGGCCTGGAGAAAAATGTCCTGTCACGAGCACACATGAGCCCATGAAGCTGCCTGATACTGAATCAGATCGCGGGTCCATCACAGTCAGTATTGCCTGCTCAGACCGGCAGTGGCTCTCCAGAGTCTCGGGCAGAGGTCTCTCACATCACCGACTATCTGATCCCTTTAACTGGAGATTCGAGGGACTGAACCTGCAACCTTCTGCATGCCAAGCAGATTCTCTGCCACTGAGCCACAGCCCGTCCCTTTAATTGAGATCTGATGTGTGGAAATGGGCAGTTAAAGCTTTCCAGGGCATGGTGGTAAACAACACAATCGGGTAACTAACATTCTAATGTGCTAACGATCCTCTATTAAAAGAACAGAACATTTCCCCCCCTCCCCAGCCAGCGGGCAACCCTAGATCCAGCAGGACTCTTCTTATATACTCTTCTTGTCTTTTTTTATTCTTGCAAGATACTCTGAAGCCAATTTATGCCTGAAAAGTAGGATTAAAACCTGTAACGAATAAATCGACAGAAATATTGTTCCTCTTGTTACATGCCCCCCACTTCTGTGAGCCAATTAGATATTCAAAGAGTCGTGCTTCCTAGGTCTGGGTTCCTATGGGCAGGAGAGCACCCAAGACTTATAGCACCTCCATAATATCTGTGTGGTTGACAAATGGGCATGTAGAGCACAGGCAAAGTCAAATAAATGGTTCTACAGAGGCACAGATCCAATGCCCCCACGTCATATCCCGGAGAAAGATTTCCCAAGGTGCTTCGGCTAACTCACAACCAGTGTTCCCTCTAAGCTGAGTTAGTGTGAGCTAGTTTGCAGTTTTTTAGCTTCCAGCTCACACAGTTTTGTCTCCGCTGAGGAAGGATGGCTCCAGAGCAAACTAATTTATGCACTAACCAAATTGCTCCCTCGCAACTTTAATGCCAGTAGCTCACAAAGTAGTTTTTTTGCTCACAAGACTCCACTGCTTAGAGGGAGCACTGCTCACAACTCTCTCTTTTCCCTTCTCTCTCTCTTTTTTAAAGACATTCTGCGGTTCCTTCACACACTTACCGAAAGCTCTTTTCAGAGGGTATTCATGTTGGCCTGCCATAGAACAGTTAGATTTGGGTCTAGTCCCGCCTTAGAGGCCAATAAGACTTTCAGGGTATCACGAAAGCTTATGCCCTGTGTTAAATACTGCGTTCTAGATGCATTGCAGTGATCAGCTCTAGTTTATTCAGTGATTTCAGCAAACTACAAGACAACTCTAGCAGGGCTGGAGCCATGCTTATAAGCATGCCAAACGCCACACCCAACACACTCCCACGCCCAGTGATAGGCTATTTACGTTACACTGCTTACCTATAGGTTAGTTCCTGGATCCAGGCAAGCTATTGTTCTGGAGAAGCAAGCTCAGTGAGCAAAAATTCTGCTTTGTGAGCTACTTGCATTAAAGTTGTGAGCGAGCGATTGGGCTACAACGGCAGGGAAAACACAAGGCGAAGCGCGGCTTTTAAAAGCCGCTCCAAAAAAGAAACGCTGCGGCGGGATCCCACGGATCACGTTAGCTGCGCGCTGTTGCTCCCCGGCACGATCAGATGCCGGGGAGGAAGAGGCGAGGGGGAGGGGGAGGCTGCCGCACTGCGCATGCTCGAGCATGCGCAGTTCGGCTGGGGGCCGGGATGTGCCGGCACAAGGATGTGCCGGCCGATCCCACGGCCGGCTTGAGGTACTTCAATCGGAAGAACCACCCAGGTTGGTGGTTCTTTTTGGTGCAGGTTTTCGGCCGGGAGAGACGGATCGGAGACGGGCAGGCAACGATTCCTAGATGTTGCCGTGGGATCGTGCCCGTTTGATCCGCCCCCGTTCTGTCTCGCTCCTGGACCAAAACCCCTCGTATGAACAGGACTTAATATGTACAAACAACCCATAAAGACTGGATTCCAGAACTGGTGCGGAAAGGGCTGTCAAGCAGCCACTGACTGATGGTGGCCTCTGGTGGGGCTTCCGAGGGAAGAGGCGCACGGAGGTGGGTTTTGCCATTGCCTGTCTCTGCGTGGCAACCCTGGACTTCCTTGGCAGTCTCCCGTCTCAGTACCAACCAGGGCCGGCCCTGCTTTGCTTCCGAGATCCGACGAGAGATCAGGCTAGCCTAATGACAGAATTAGAGAATGCAAAAACAACCCTGTAATACATACAACACACAGTGCAATAAAACAGGATTACAAAAACAGAGAACACTGTCATAAAACAATCTGATATATGCAACAGTGTAATAAAGCTGGATTACAAAATTAGAAATGGATGCCATAAAGAATGATGGTATATACAACAAACAGGGCAGTGAAAAATTGCCTACAGTTTCCTCAGACACTAAAACTAAAAAATGACAAACCCTTTCAGAATAATCCCACCACAACATCAACCCTCATGAATATGAAGGTCTGTTCACAGGGCGCTGCTCAAACTATCCTCTCGGGTGGAGCAGGGCCTTTTCAGTGGTTCCTCCTCCCCCAGTCCTCTCCCTGGAGACTTGTATGGTCTCTTCCTTGGGTTGCCAGCCTCCAGGTGGGGAATGGAGATCTCCTGCTATTATTAATGATCTCCAGACTACAGAGATCAGTTCCCCTAGATAAAATGGCTGCTTTGAAGGGTGGGTTCTGTGGCATTATATCTCCCCTCCCCAAACCCCACCCTCCCTAGGCTCCACCCTCCCTAGGCTCCACCCCAAATCACCCGGGATTTCCCAACCCAGTCATGGCAACCCTAGTGCCTCTCCTGCCTCCAAGAGCCTTTTAGGATCACTATTAGCCGAGGAGACAGATTTATCTGCTGCCTTGTTGTGTTTTCCCCTTGTGGAGCAGTTTTAAGTGTGTTCATCCATTTGTCGTTAAACTTATTTTGGATATGTTTCTGTTGCAAACTGCTTTGCAAGCATACCTTCAAGAGTAGGCGTACAAATGGCCAACGTTTTAAAATAAAATAAGTAGGGAATATAAGTTGGAACCCTGCTATTTCTCCTTGAGCACATGAAACCACCGTTGTTGTTTTTTAGTAGCTTTCTGCATGTCGGATTTCTAAATAACTAAACTGTTTGGGGGCGTACCTCCCCTTTCATTTTTTAGGGACAGTATGGATGCTGGAGATCCTAAGTCTCATCCTCAACAATGGGGACCCCAACTGGTGCCAAACCGTCCCGAACTGGGACCGGGCCCCTTGGTACGAGACAGTGATGGGCTACCGGAAAGCTTTAACTAACAAGTCACCTCGCCTCATTAGCTCCCACCTGCCGATGCAGCTCTTTGCAAAGTCCTTCTTCAAGTCCAAAGCCAAGGTAAGAGCAAACAGTATCACTTAGCCACCTGTGTAGCGCTTTCAACAGCCTTTTAAGATAGGCCAGTATTACAGGTACAGCGGGTGAGGCTGCGGAACCTGCCTAACACAGGGATCAGCTTCCACAACCTCATTCTCTTATAGTGTAATCCTGAGCAGCGTTACACCCTTCTAGTTCAGGGCCAGAGGATGTGGTGATGGCCACAAGCATAGACAGTTTTAAAAGAGGACTAATCAGATTCATGGAGGAAGGGTCCATCTCTGGCGACTAGCCACACTGACTAAAAAGAACCTCCACATCCAAAGGCAGTAAACTTTTGAATACCGGTGCCAGCAAGCAACGCTGGGGGAAGGTCTTGGCCTCTATGTCCTGCTGTTAGCCCTCCAGAGGAACTGGCTGGCTGCTGTTTGAGACAGGATGGTGGACTAGATGGACTGCTGGTCTGAGCTAGCAGGGTTCTTCTTACGTTCACACGTTAAGTCCACTGAAGTCAATGGACTTAGAAAGGCATAACTCAAGTCAGGGCTGCACCGTCGGCCGCTACACTGCAGCAGACCATAGGTGAAGGTGTCATCAAGACTTCTCATTGTCCAAGACTTAGCTGGAATTAAGCTGTAAGGGAGGATTCCCTTGCAGCCTAATTCCAGCCAAAGCTAAGAAACTAGCTTTAATGCCAGGGCTCAGCAATGTAAACCGGAAAGAGAAAAGAGAGGGAGGGAGAGAGAGAGCCTTTGAGCATTTACAGATGTCCTGGGGCTGCCAGATTTTCAACTGGCTTCTGTTGTGCCTTTAAAAACCGCTTGATCTGCAGCTGCTGGCAGGTGGAATGGCTCATGTCCATATCCTGAAAAATGTCACCAGCTCATCCTTGTGTGTTGAGCGGCTACGCAGCTACAGAGGTTGTTTGGAAAGGTGGCAGCTCTCGTGGAGTTCCCTCTCTTGACCTCTAAGGAATTGCTGCTCATCTCAAAAATGCTGAAAGACCTGGTTCACTGATATGCACAGCCTGTTCACTGATATGCACAGCCTGGCCCATGGCTCTTTCTGGGTGTGGAGAACAGTGTTGTTTGCATTTATCAGGTGAAAATCCAATATTTGTGCATGGGTGCATTTATATAGCACAGGCTAGCTCAAGCTCATCAGATCTCAGAAGCTAAGCAGGGTTGGCCCTGGTTAGTACTTGGATGGGAGACCTCCAAGGAAGTCTAGGGTCTCTACACAGAGGCAGGTGTTGGCAAAATGCCTCTGTTTGCCTCTTGCCTTGAAAACCCTACGGGGTCCCCATAAGTCGGCTGCAGCCTTGACTGCACTTTACAAACACATGTATTTAAATAGCATCATCAATATTCATGGCACTTTGCAAAGTAATAAGATCATTCTTTCCCAAAGAGCTTACAAACTAAAGTGTGGAGCAGGAGAGGCAACGGAGGGAGGGAAGGATGGCGGAGGTATGCATAAGCAAGGATCAGTTGTGTCTGTTTATTTGTAGAAGAGATGAGATGGTACCAAAGCACATGAGACAGGTGGCTTTTGAGAAGGGATTTGAAGGAAGCCCACAGGGCTCTTTTTGTAGCAGGAACTCCTTTGCATATTAGGCCACACACCCCTAATGTAGCCAATCATCTAAGAGCTTACAGAGCTCTTCTTACAGGGGCTACTGTAAGCTCTCGGAGGATTGGCTACATTAGGGGTGTGTCACCTAATATGCAAATGAGTTCCTGCTACAAAGAGAGAGGAGAGTTCCCAAGAGTGGTCTGGGCACAGGGTTGCTAACTTCAGATTGGGGGAATGCCTGGAGATTCTTGGAGATCTTGGGGGCAGAGCCTGGGGAAAGCCAGGTTTGGGGAGCTCGGTTGGGGTGTGATGCCAGAGGGTCCACCCTCTGAAACTCCCATTTTCTTCAGGGGAATGGATCTCTGGGACACCGCTAAATCCCACCTGGAGGTTGGCAACTCTGTCCAGGAGCCATGTCCAGGCAAGGCAACAAGAGAGAAATATCCTGGGAGTCAGAGTGGGAGACCAGCTGGAACGGTTTGGTGGAGGACTGATGTTCTGTCATATACAGGGGATGGGTCACGAATCAGGGAGTCTCGAGTTTTTAATGTTGCCCATGACGGGTATTGTGTGGAGAGCCCGTTCTGGACCTGCACTTACACCTTTTTTTGCACAGATGTAGAAACCTCCAGACTGAATCAAGGCCAGGAGCAACCTGGGCTAAACGAGACGCAATGGCATCCTTGTGTCTGCAACAACAAGGCCGCCGCCATTTTAAAGCCATTTAAAACTGGGATTGAGGCCACAGTGTGGTGGGCTGAGGCCCTCTTGCTTCCCCGGTACCTAAGGTTGCCAACCTCCAGGTGGTGGCAGGAAATCAATTGAGACCAGTTCCTCTGGAGAAAATGGCTGCTTTGGAAGGCGGACTCCACGACATTGCACCCGTGGAGGCCCCTCCCCTTGCCAAACCCCGCCCTCCCCAGGCTCCACCCCCCAAAAATCTTCTGTTATTTCCCAACCCAGAGCTGACAACCCTACCCATACTGTATCAAGTCCCGAAATAGCCACACACCCCATGGGTGTTTTGGCGCCTGAAAAGGCACCGGAGGGAAGAACAAGGGCACTTGACAGCATTTTTGAATGGCTTTAAAAATGGTGGTAGCCAATGTTCCCTCTAAGTTGTAGAGTCCTGTGAGCAAAAATTCTACTTTGGGAGCTGCTGGCATTAAAGTTGTGAGCGAGTGATTTGGCTGCTGCCTAGATTAGCTTGCTCTGGAGCCGTCCTTCTTGAGCTAAGACAAACATGTGTGAGCCAGAGGCTAAAAAACTGTGAGCTAGCTTACACTAACTCAGCTTAGAGGGAACACTGGTGGTAGCCATGAGGACACCGTCGCACCTAGTCTGGCCCTGATTCTTCCTGTTCCCAGCAGAGACTGACTGCCCGTACTGATCGACTGACTCTCGTGAGAATTGCAAAGCCGCCCCTCCACATGCACACGCTGCTTGCCCAGAGCAATGCTTTAACGGGGGGGGGGGGGACGACCAAAATACAGAGGAGTGGCTCTTTGTTTTGAAGGTGCTGAATCAAAACTGAAACGGAAAACTGAAACGGATAAATAAGACGTGTACCTGCAAACAGTATTTTAGGGAAGGCTCGGATTTAGGAAAGGCTGGCAGCTGTCCAAAGCATGGAAGGAGAGGTGAAGCTAGCTGCATCCTGGAATCCGAGCCAAGCATGCAGCAGTCAAGGAGGGAAAGGTGCCTGTCGGGGGCAGCAGACCAAAAAACACACCACCCCTCACCTGCTCCTGAATGAAAATTACACATTTTGAGTCCAACAAAGCAAGAGGGCAAAAATATTATACCACATTCATTAACAGGCTTAGGGTTCTGGGCTGCAGACATGTGTTTCACGGGTGCATGCATAAACAGTCTAGTCTAGATTTCATACGTGTGGAGTCGGCTTGCGTTGTCCGATGTTGCAGCGTTCCATTTTGCACACTCAACCCACTCCCTTCTCCCGACAGATAATCTATACAGTTAGAAACCCAAAAGATGTCTTAGTGTCCCTCTACCATTTTGCCTCGATGTTTCGCCCTTATAAAGACCCTGGAACCTTGGACCGATTTCTGGAAGAGTTTCTAAAGGGGGATGGTGAGTGACTGGGGGACGAGCGGGGAGGGGCTGTGGCTCAGTAGCAGAGCACCCGTTTGGCGTGCGGAAGGTCCTGGGTTCAACCCCTGGCATCTCCAGGTAAAAGGACCAAGCAGTAGATGATGGTGAAAGCCCTCTGCCTGAGACCCCGGAGAGCTGCTGCCAGTCTGAGTTAGAATTGCGAGGTCCCTCCTGGCCACCAGAGGGGGATGGGGAAGGGGTAGAGTTTCCAGATCTGGGCTGGGAAACCCCTGGAGATCTGGGGGTGGAGCCTGGGGAGGACAGGGACTCCAGTGGGGTACAATGCCATCGAGTCCACCCTCCAAAGCATCCATTTTCTCCAGGGGAACTGATCTCTGAAGTCTGGAGATGGGCTGTAATTCCAGGGGATCCTCAAATCCCACCGGAGGCAGTGACATGGTTATGGACGAAGGGTCTGACTCAGGATAAGGCCGCTCGGTGGGTTCCTGTGTTCACGTGACCTCCCTCCCTCCTTCTCTGTGGTTCCCCCAAGTGCGTGCCCCCTGCACTAAGGGGCCTGCCTAATTCTTGCTTCTTGCTGCAGTGCCTTTTGGATCCTGGTTTGACCATGTTAAAGGGTGGATGGACTTGAAGGATGAGGAGAACTTCTTCTTCATCACATATGAGGAGCTGCAAGAGGTTGTTATTATGTTGTTTTAGCTGTGCTCTCAACTTGCATTTTGCAAGAATAGATACAGTTTTGCCTGTCACGAATGCTGGAACATATCTATGCTGGCAACGGAAGCCAGGTTCTGAAGGTCATCCAAGTGCGTGAAGGGGGGGAAATAATTCGGCATTCTGCGTGAAAGGTCCTAGTCTTAGGTTTCTAGTCTTGGCTGCGTTTCCCCTTGTTTCCAACCTATAAGCGGGGAGACGCTCTCTATTGTGTATTGCTTGGCTCAGTTTGCAGCATGCTGGAACGCTGGCTAAGATTGTGAAGTAGATTTCTCCTCCTGTTGCTTTAAGTGAGAGATATAAAATGTTCCCGTTTTGAGACTTAAAAAAATGTGGATGGACTTGAAGGATGAGGAGAACTTCTTCTTCATCACATATGAGGAGCTGCAAGAGGTTGTTATTATGTTGTTTTAGCTGTGCTCTCAACTTGCATTTTGCAAGAATAGATACAGTTTTGCCTGTCACGAATGCTGGAACATATCTATGCTGGCAACGGAAGCCAGGTTCTGAAGGTCATCCAAGTGCGTGAAGGGGGGGAAATAATTCGGCATTCTGCGTGAAAGGTCCTAGTCTTAGGTTTCTAGTCTTGGCTGCGTTTCCCCTTGTTTCCAACCTATAAGCGGGGAGACGCTCTCTATTGTGTATTGCTTGGCTCAGTTTGCAGCATGCTGGAACGCTGGCTAAGATTCTGAAGTAGATTTCTCCTCCTGTAGCTTTAAGTGGGAGATATAAAATGTTCCAGTTTTGAGACTTAAAAAAAAATAATCATGTCACTGTTGACTGTGTGTAAACAAAAGCATCATTCTGTCTGGCATGGAAGTATATTAACCATGATTGTTACCAATTTCCATAGTGCTTCGTTACTGAAGTGCTTTACTATCTATTCGCCTCACAAGAAAATCCTGTCTGGGTAGACGAAGCCACAAGAAACTGACCTGCTAAAAGCTGGATGAAAAGAGAACAGAGGACTAGAATCTGTAATGGCCGTTGGCCTGCTGGACTTAAGACGGAGGGGAGGAGCAGAGAGCTCAGGCTTCTGGGTTATTTTGGAGGGGAGGAGGAGACGGAGGCTTAGGGAAATCCCATTTCAAACCTATTAAATCTTCATGGCGCCCAGTTAAGGAAAGAACTTCAAAAATCTATAGTTTTGCAAAGAAGTTAGGAATCTTCAACAAAAGATTCTTGGTGCGCGTTCCCCGACTACAACTCCCAAGCAATGATCCCTCTAAGCTGTGAAGTCTTGTGAGCAAAAAAATCCTACTTTGTGAGCTCCTGGCATTAAAGTGGCGAGCGAGCGATTTTGGCTGCTGCATAAATTAGTTTGCTCTGGAGCCATCTTTCCTGAGCTAAGACAAAAATGCGTGAGCCGGAGGCTAAAAAATTGTAAGCTAGCTCACACTAACTCCGCTTAGAGGGAACGCTGCTCCCAAGTCTCTCTAGCGGCATCCTTCAGGTGCCTCTTGCTTGGGAAGACCCTTGGTTTACGTGTGTAGGAACATTAGCATTGGAAGTGCGCTCTTTGTAAACAGAGACCATCTCCCTGGCCTTGTCCTATCCTCTTCTCTAGGACCTGCGGGGAAGCATAGTCCGTATCAGCCAGTTCCTGGGCAAGGATCTAGATGACGCAGCCATCAACTCTGTGGTGGCGAATGCCTCCTTCGAAGCCATGAAAAGTAATAAGATGTCAAACTTCTCCCGTGCACCACGATTCCTCATGGACCATAAGAAAAGTGCTTTTCTTCGCAAAGGTGAGGGTAAAATGTGGTGGGGGGCAGGGGTCGTTTAGTAGAAAAAGAGCTAGGGGAACTCATTAGCATAACTCATTAGCATATGCCACACCCCCTGACATCACTGGAAGTGTGTCATAAGGCCACACCCCCTGACATCACCGGAAGTGTGTCATAAGGCCACACACCCCACCCCCAACGGTCCCGGCCGCCGCCAGCCTTGCAGCTCCACTGCCGAGCCCCATGAGGGGATTGGCGGTGGACCTGCAAGGCCGGCGGGAGTGCGAGGAAGCCCCGCGAAGGCCCTCCCTGGCCCCAGGCAGGCAGGGGTGGGGAGAGGCAGGGTGGAAACAACTTACCTTCCCTCTTCTCCTGCCTCCTCCTGGCTGAATGAGGGCCGGAAGCGGGGGGTGGGGCTTCATCATGTGCCCCGCCCCCCGTACCTCACCCGGGGGAACTGCGATCCCCCCCGAAATGACCTCTGGTGGGGGGTGACCTTCCCGCCAGGTGTGAGGGGGGGTGGCAGCTGTAGGTATTCTCCTGAGGACCAGAACACACATGATGCTGACGATCTAGAGTTATATGATATTACAACACAACAGTCTCTTTTTCAGGACCGCACAGCCCAACAAAGGAGCCTTAGAGCTTGGGCACAATACTAAGGGGGCAGTTGACTAATAAGGGCCCCGTTCACACGGAGAAGTTGCCACGCTGAAGACACGGATGATAGGCGGATTTTCCGGGCGCGATCACACCGCAACATCTGGGAAGCGTAGTACACCCGTGGCTAACCACGGTAAAAAACCACCACATACAATGTACTAGTTTCCAGAAAACGTGGGGCAAGGGCGGGCGTCTGATCACGTTTCCGCTGGAAACCCGTGGCATCCGGCGCCAGCCCATGTCCCGTTGCAAACCAGATGTTTCTTTTTTTAAGTCTCCACAGGATGTGCACAAACGATCAGGTGCATGCGCAAACTTCAGTGAGACAAAAAAAATCTCGTTTGCCACGGAAGCGGCACAGTGCGATTGCTGGTGTGATCGCGCCGCGCCGATTCTTTGCTGCGCTGCAGATTAGCCGTGTGATCGGCACCTAACAGCCTAACCACTGGACCTCGACGGGACATCTGATCGGGCTGCCGTGCGTTACTTTGTTCCGGGGCAAACAGCAACGCTCCCCCCTCCGCGCATTTTCTGGCCCGTGTGACCGGGGCCAAGGTTTGGAATTAAATTCCTGGTGGCAGCGTTACATACCTTGAGTGAGAGGAAGAAACGACAAGAAATTTTAAAACACATCATGTCTACCCACACATTAAAAGAGACCTCCCCCTTTTGGGGGGGGGGCAGTGGAAGTATATGTGCAAAGTGCTCGGGAACCTAGCACATCTTTCTTCTGTTGCGGCAGTTCTGCGTCTTGTGTACAACTTCTCTAGATCGGCCAGCTGGCCAGTTGACCGGTCGAATCTTGTTAATTGATTGCCCGCTGTTTAGTCTCTGTCTAATAATAGTCAGATATTCTCTGAAGCCAAGAATGTCCCTGTGGAGGTGACAGTTCCCCTGTTTTAAAATTGTTTTTCCAGGGTCATTTGTTAGCCGGGGCAGGAATGTGGACCACTGGTCCCCGAACCCTGCAGCAGCTCAGGAAAGATCTAGCAGCCAAGTAAAGCTTCTTCTGCCATCCAGGTGTTGTAACAGCAGACTTTTCCACGTGGGAATGATGGCTCTGCTGTCCGTTCTTGGGGAAGAAGGACTTGTAAAGAGAACGTTGCTGATACTTGTTAGTTAGGTCCTTTGAACCAAGCCGGGGACCCCAGCTCAGGCCAAACCAGACTGGATTAATTTCATTTATGCTTCCCTGGTGTTTGTTTTTTGAGTGTCAGTGCAGTGCAGTAGTTAGAGAGCCAGTTGTGGATCTGGGAGGCCCACGTTCAAATCCCCATTCTGCCATGAAACTCAGTGGGTAACCCCAGGCCAGTCACCTCTTTCTCGGCATAATCAGCCTCACAGGGTCGTTGTGAAGCTCAAACAGGGAAAGGAGGAAAATGCACTGGGTAGATTGGGGAAGAAAACAAAGACTGACTGATTGACCCTTGGAAAAAGACATCATTGTTCACAGGGGTCATTTCGTAGAAAAAGAGCTAGGGGGACTCATTAGCATAACTCATTAGTATATGCCACACCCCCTGACATCAGGGGCCCGGCGGTGGACCTGCAAGGCCAGCGGAAGTGCGAGGAAGCCCCGCCAAGGCCCACCCTGGCCCCAGGCAGGCAGGGGTGGGGAGAGGCGGGGAGGAAGCAACTTACCCTCCCTCTTCTCCTGCCTCCTCCTGGCTGAATGAGGGCTGGAAGCGGGGCGGCCGGAAGCAGGGGGCGGGGCTTCATCGTGTGCCCCGCCCCCCTGCACCTCACCCGGGGGAACGCGTTCCCCCCCGAAATGACCTCTGATTGTTCACATTAATGGAACACTTTTCTGGCATAATTTGGTGTGACATTCCCTTGCCGATACCAGAAAACGCTGTTGCCCTCCTGTGATTTAGCCTGGATCAAATAAAAATTCTTCTAGTACAGCAATGTGCCCAGTCAGCCAGATATCCCTGGTAAGTTCATGGGCGTGGCTTGGTAGAGAAAGGCAGCCTCAGTTGTTGTCTCCTGTATTTGTAGGGATGCCAGCCTCCAGGTGGGACCTGGGGTTTCCCCAGAATTACAGCTCATCTCCACAGTACAGAGATCAGTTCCCCTGGAGAAAATGGATGCTTTGGACGGTGGACTCTATGACACTGTACCCTGCTGAGGTCTCTGTCGTCCCCAGGGTCCATCCCCAAATCTCCAGGAGTTTCCCAGCCTGAACCTGACAAGCCTAACCCCACCCCACCTTACTCCCAGTGGTGGCCGGGGAGGACCTGGCAACCCTATATACAGGGGTCATTTCGTAGAAAAAGAGCTAGGGGAACTCATTAGCATAACTCATTACCATATGCCACACCCCCTGACATCACCGGAAGTGTGTCATAAGGCCACACCCCCTGGCATTACCGGAAATGTGTCATAAGGCCACACACCCCGCCCCCAACTGTCCCAGCCGCCACCACCGGCCTTGCAGCTCCACTGACGAGCCCCATGAGGGGCCCGGCGGTGGACCTGCAAGGCCGGGGGGAGTGCAAGAAAGCCCCGCGAAGGCCCTCCCTGGCCCCAGGCAGGAGGGGTGAGGAGAGGCAGGGAGGAAGCAACTTACCCTCCCTCTTCTCCTGCCTCCTCCTGGCTGAATGAGGGCCGGAAGCGGGGCGGCCGGAAGCAGGGGGTGGGGCTTCGTCATGTGCCCCCCGTACCTCACCTGGGGGAACTGTGTTCC